TCTGATTCTGCCATTTAGTAGTTATTTAAGTCAGAACCCTTCACTTCCATGGACAAGACTCCGAACAGCTTTTCATCTTAGATCTTACCTCCTTTCCCTTGACTATAAAACCCTCATGAACTGGCCGGACTCATCTCTCATCCCACTTCAATACTGCTCTTTTTCCTCCCTCCAACTACTGAACTGAGCTCATTTCCTGGAGCTGAAATATTCTGCTTCCTATTCATTCAGGTCTCTGCCTGTGTCACCTCCTCAGAAAGGTCTTCTCCAACCATCCTATTCCATCTCATTCACACCACCACACCATTTTTTCTTCTCAGCATTTAGTCACTGTCTTAATTTGTATTTACACTCCAATGTCAATGTAAGCTCCATGAAGGCAAGGGCCATTTTTTTGTTCACTACAGTATCCTCTACAACTGGAATGGTACTCAGAATGTAGATGCTAATACTTTTTTTTTTTTGGATAATCAGTACTAGCAGTGGGACCTGGACCATATCACTTAGCCTCTGATTCTATTTCAGTTATAAAATGCAAATATTCAATTACCCCCCAATTGTTTTTATTATTTGAGTCTCAAATAAGAAAACATATGAAATGGCCCGGCCCAGTGGCTGATACACAGATAGGTATTCAACACATCTATTAATCCTAATCTATAACCATTTCTCCACATTCTCTTTCCTTACAGGATCATGCTGGCAGTTCACAACCCTTCAGTGGAATCAATGTATACAGTGCTGGTGATCGGAGGATGGGTGCTGTAAATCACAGTATTCTTTCTAGTGGGTCCCACAGTACCTTTCTGGAACAGTTGTACTTAGATATTTCAGTCATCCACAGATTTCTGAGTCAGGAATCTAGCTCACTCAAGTTTCTAGGCTCAAATTTACAAACTTGCATTTTAAGCAAGAAATAAGGCCTAGGCTAGTCCTAGTTAACATCTGCTGAACAGTTAATTTACAAGACGTTCAAAATCAAATGTACCAGTAATGTGAACACCTTGGGGTGGGATAGAAAGAACAAGAAGGGCTTCTCCAGCTTTTGTTTTTCCAGGCAGTTTTGACCTCAGACATAAAACACACAAAAAACACACACAAAGGATTCAGTTAGTGCCCATGTCTGTACAAAGACTGCTAGATATCTATACTAAAATGAAGCTTGAAATGTATTTCTATTTAACAGATTAGGCTGAATAATTTTCCTGTTTAAAAATGTAGATGATCCTCAACTGTGGAGGAAAGGGATTAACTCAGATCTGGAGAAGGCAGCATTATTAGGAAGAAGTTTCGTTTTCATTGGAGCAATAGGGTAGAACTTGGGTTTAATTGCTAAATTGGTCTCTGCTTCTTAGGAACAGTCCTGTACCTTCATGCTAAAATAGCCTCAGGCACTGTTCCATTCTTTTCCTTCTCCTAGGAAAGGGCAGCACCAAGAAAAAACAGAAGGACTCTTTCTGAATTTTCACCTTTAATTTAGAAGGGCTGCACCCAATATTCTGAAGTAAAGCTGGGTGATATGCTCCTCTGGCCTCTTTCAAACAGATTCACATGCCATAGATAGGTTTGAGTCACCCATGCTAGATATCAACATTCATCCTCTACTACTAAATGGGTTTTCAGATTCTTAAGTGAAAAGGCCACAGAAAATGTTATATTCACATGGAAAATACAAGTAAATCCAAGCCAAATGAATCAGCTTTTTCCAAAACCTTAAATCCAAAGGTTCTTTCTTCACAGTAGTTAATATTTTATTCCATGCTGCCAAGCAAAATAAACTTTCAGCAGTGGCATCAGAGTCTTGGTGTTGGGAAATACTTGCTTTCACTGGGGCTAAAGTCTGATCTGGTAGCCTATATTCTCATGTTGTCAACTTTCCCCTTCTACCCCAAGAAACTAATTTAAACACATATCACTTACTAACTACAATGTAGAAACAGGTTGTAAATCCAAGTCTGCTGTTTCTAACAAATGCCAGGAATATTCAAATGTGAAAATCATTTATTGTACAATTTTAACATAACTGAGAGTCCATATAAAATGAGCTTGTTCCTGCAATAAATGTAACAATCGCCATTAACTGTTACACAATGCTCATTGTGATGGGCTTCCCTAGCTTTTAATCATGGGGTCCTCAACCAACTAACGTCTTTTGTTAATTCTTAAGAGTTAAGATTTCAAGCTTTGGTAGGGAGTGTATTGTTTTGTAAGCTTGGACATACATTCTAAGCCACAGCTTTGACACACAAACGAATGCCTATTTAGTTCTAGAGTAGTGTAGGTGAGCAGATAAAGTGTGCATATCTGAAGGCAAACTTTTAAAACATTGCCATTTGCATCCTACCCACTTTAATCACTCTCTTCCATATTGTTCTAGAACTGCACTGCCCAGTATAGTAGCCACTAGCCACTTGTTGCTATTGAGCATTTGGAATGTGCACTGTCCAAAATAAGATGTACTTTTAAGTGTAAAATACCAGATTTTGAAGACTCTATGAAAAAAATGATGTAAATATCTCATTAATAATCCTTATATCGATTACATGTTAAGATATTTTGGCCTTATTGAGTTAAATAAAATTGATTTCACCTGTATCTTACCTTTTATAATGTGGCTGCTAGAAAATTTTAAAATTATGTGACTTTCATTATATTCCTACTGGACAGTGCTATTCTAGACCATTTGGTGCAGATAGGGGACCAAGTATGAATCTTTTCAATAAGTAGGTTTATCAGTCACCAACACTATCCATCAAGAAACCCAGCAATATTTTGGAGGCTTGAGGTCCACATCCTGCCAAAAACAAGGGGCACCAGCACAATGCCTAGAATGTAGTGGGACCCCAGTAACATATTTATCTCCTATTAGCTGAGGAAACAAAACTCTAAATTCACGAGCCCTTGCCTCCCCCCCATTACTCCTCACAGCTCCTTTCAAATATCATTTGAATAGGGATGGATAACTACAGTATGTATATCTTTTTTTTGCAATACTTTACCTATTTACACATCTCTCACTGATTCCTGCTCCTGAGTCGATTGTATCTTTCTCTCTGTGCTTCAAATGTTGAATGGGGTGTGATATTCTCAAAATACTCTCTTCCGTAGCCATTTCCTTACTCAAAATACTACTGTACCTATTATTTGACATGCTTTGTTTGCAATTGCCTTTAGAGTGAATAGTGCATTCTTCCAAATATGCTTAAGGGTAGCATATCTCCAATCCACTGGGAAAAAGACAATTCTAGGAAATAGCCAAGATTCATCTCAAGGGTGGCAAATAACGTGAACATACTGAAGAGCACTGCATCTCTCAGTTACTCATATTGTTTCTGAAAGCAATTTTAAAGAAGTTCCCAATATTTTCTGAGCAATTACATTCTTTGAATGCCTATGTCTGCCCCAGGCAACTTTAAAGGGCATTTATTTGGATGCTAATAAGCTGGCTAGCATACTTCTAAAAAATTGCAATTTTTTCCCTATTCATATTTTCAAATCAAGATATAACTGGGGCCAAGAGCACATAGTATGGGGCTGAGATGACCATTGACATTAAAGATTTCCAAAACATATTCCAACCTCCTTCCAAACTTTCAGAAATGAAAGGCCTTGATATAGTGCTAAGGTGCATTTGGTAATGCCCAAAGTGATTTACTGAATTTACAATATATGACCTTTAATCCTCCTCAGATTTGTCCTTTAAATTTTCCTTGGCAAATTAACCAAAACCAATGTTTATCCTAAGAAATCATACCTCATAAGTAATCTAATCTAGGACTCAGAATATTTTTTAAAAAACAACAAATTAGGGGCTATACACTAGCAGGATTAAGAGCCCAATGAAACTAAGCTCTGGAATTAGGTATCTGCCTAGAAATACTGTCACTTACTGGGTGACCTTGGGCAAATTACCAAATGCCTGTATCTTACTCAGCTAAATCACCTATAAAACAGGGTGGCAATAATACACCTCAGAATCACTGTGAGAATTAAATAATTTATATAGTGCTTAATACAATACCTGACAGCAATCAGAAAAATTTAGTTTAGTAATCCATTTGCAAGGCCTTAGATTTTAATCTTGCCTGAATTAAAAAACCTCAAAGAAACTGGACCCTAGCTTCCATTTCCTATTTTTTCAAATGACCATTAACAATATAGCTTATACTCTGCTATGATTTACCAGATCCTCTGTTCTCAGTAATAACCCTTTTATTACTCGAATAACTCTCAACAAGATGCCTGTACATTGGCTTACTCTGCTGTGTAGGATGTAAACATTTCAGTGGTATACTTGAGTTTCTAAGAAAAGAATCATGAACTGCACTAACAGTAAAACCCTGGGAAGGTCATGAGACTAAGAGTGACTGCACCAGAATTATCACAAGGAACTGAGTTCCTATGCTAATGACAGGGCTCTGTAGGAACCAGAAGAAATACAATTATAATAAAATTTATCATCAGCTAAATGAATACCAATACCAAGGGGGAAGGGTCACTTAGTTATCAGAATGTGACAACCTACTTAGAAACAGGGACATCTTAGTGGCTTAGGCAACATGTTTAAGAGGTAGGAAGTAGCAATGGAAGATAAAAGCTGCATGAGCATACATGCACACCTAGACAAGTCTTTGTATTTAGAGATCAAGCAAGGGAGTGAGTGGTCAGGGCAATGGTAAAAATACAAGAAACAGCGAAGATGCACCCAGTTAAAATGTCATTTATATAAATCTTTCCAGGATTCTTGTATTGGAATATACTTTAATCTTTTATTTTACCACTACAAGATTAAGCTATTAAACTACACAACATGGAACGAAAGTTATATCCCATAAACCAGTACCTGCCCACACTCATAGTAGAGAGAATCAAAATCAAGGTTGTGCTGTAATTCCACTTGATTCTAAAAATCAAGTGTATTTGACATCAGTTTGAAACAGAACCTTTATCAAATTCCCCTTTTTAAGAAAAAAACCCAAGGAGAGATGATCAAGCACAAATGATCACTTCATGCATTTTATTGATAGTCTATATTTTAAATCTGCAGTATGACATCTTACATAGGGAAAAAGCTTCTTCCTAAAAGATAACTATTAATGATCAAACCAGCTTTAATATGACTGACCTTTAAAGGTCTTGTTTTGCATTAAACAAGTTAATTTTTAGCAGGTGTAAAGCACTGTACAAAAAAAAAAGGAAAAAGAAACTGGGTACATTCTCAAATTTTAATACAGGGCTTCCCAACCAGGAGTCCGCTGGCTAGATATTGGAGAAGGATATTATGTTGAGGTTTAAATTTAAAGGAAATGAGAAACCAGAGAAAGCAAGCTACAAATTTACTTCACTTTGTGCTCCTTTCTGATTTTTCACAAGTCTCTCCCAGAGGTCAGGAAGCCGTGTAACAATCACTTTAGCCTTTACAGAACATACATTTATGTGCTTCATGTTCAAAGACATGAAGGCAGCCTTTGTTACTATTCCCGCTCCAAATCCCTTCAGGTTCTTAGACTTCAGAAAGTTTTCCAAGATTGCTGCCCAGTTTTTTATATGAACCCAAATAAACATCTATACCAAAGCAGCTCTTCCTGGGAGGAGATAAAACAAGCACAGATACATATCCAGGCCAACTGCGTACCCATTGAACTTGATACCTGATCACATGGCCCTACATATTTAAAAGCAGCACCAAGGACAAATGGACCTATCAAGAGGTAAAACCCAATCATTGGACAGTTAAAACAAATACAAATCAACCAGTTAAAAGAATGTTAGCAGAGGGGCACTAAATGGAGTTAAGGCTGGGCAGCTGGTTATACCTTGGTATTGGAATAAATCTGCAAGATGAGGAACTGATAGAGGAACCCTGAAATAATTAGGCACAGTGGTATTACGGGGTTTACTTTAACTGCATGTCTTTAAGATATCACTCAATCCAAGTGACTATAAAGCAGCTTGTGGGTCTTTAGCAAAGAAATACTAATCAAAACCAAATACCTCACTATAATTTTGAGAGTGTTAGAGGGTGTGCCTACTTCCTTCAAATTTGAATTAAAACACCTATACGGAAATGAGAATCATAAAACTGATAAATTGTTATCCCTCCTAAGTTCCAACACTTCAGTAAGAGCTCTATTCTATGCTGCATTTTAGATATAAAATGGATTTACTTAAATCAAGTGAGATCACCACTTGTTGGGAATATTAGATATTATTTTAGAAATGTTCCAGTTAAGAACTCAGTTTCAGAATATTAAAATTTTTACAGCTGTTTTCATACCTGTTTCTTAGTTGCTTATTAAAATCTGATTTAAAAATAAGTTAAATACTAGTTCTTTAGACCTTGAACTTTAATTTTACAAATAAAGCATGTTATGTTGATTTACATTTTCAAATGTTGTTTTCAAAAGCATACAATTTACTAAGTTAACTCAATGAATTACAACACTGTTATTGAATATAAAACATCCTGAAGAATTATACTAAGGAAGAAAACGCCTGATACTTTAACATGTGCCTTTTCAATCTCTTGCATTACTAAGGTACAGAATACTTTACAAAGTAGCAATCAGCAAAGTCTTATAAGTCAGGAATAAAAGTGCCCTGCAAACATGGCTTCTAAGAACTTAATGTTGGTAATACATTTGACAGGGAAGCCAGTAAGGTAAAACTTAAAAATTCAAATAAGGCAGATCAAATACTTTTCCTTCATAAAAGAACAAAGGAGAAGGGGAGGGGAAATAATAACCTCCATCTTTAAAAGTATCAACAACAAGGTGCCACTTTATTCTAGCAAGCTGTAAAAATGGCCTTTTAAGAGGCACTTTGCAACATTTACCTCCCTATCACATGGGAGGTGGCTTCAACATTTTGGGAACTGACTGAAAAGTCATGGCTGTCGTAGACATTTGGGAAGTAGGTAGTTAAATACAAAGCATATTAAGTGATAACCCTTCATAAATATAATTTGAAACATTGAACACTGGGTATGGAAAAGAAATGTTTTCCCAGGGGGGGAAAATTACTTGAGGTAACACTTAAAGATAACCAGTTTCCTAATCTTAAAGTTTGGATAAACTCCAATGATCATGTTTTTAGAGATTTCATATATATAAAATGGTGCTAAACGTTTTTCTTGTTAACTATACAATTATTCCCTACATTCCAACAGTAATGTGAACACTTTTCTCAATCCCCACCTCCATTAACCACTAACACCACTGAGTTATGACTAATGTGTTCTTTTTAGAGCAAATACTCCAAATTAATAACATGGCTCATCTTCTAGTGTTGCTACAAAGTCTGCAAACTTTAAACCTTTTTCAATTTTGTTTTTAGTACTAATAAATCACAACCCTTTCAGCTGCTTGGAGTTAACATAATACCTCAAATGTTTCAGACTAATAAGTAAATTTTTAAAATATCTGAAATATTCAAGGAAATTCAGTTTTTAGTATTTTTCCCTATGCTTTGAACAATGTAAACTCCCAACATTGTTTTTTCTTGCTCCTATTACTACATGAAGTTCCAGGACAAAACCTTTAATAAAGAAAAAGTGCAGATACAAAATGAAACGTATAGTCTTTTGCAAGAAAACTTACTCCCTGACACCTACAAATGACCTTGTCTTCAATGTCCACTAGTAAGTACATATTAGACATGGGTCTTGGGGGAAAAAAAAAGTAGCAAATTCCACTAAAATTTTGTATCCATTCTACACAGTCCAATGGAAATTATTGAGTGCTATTGAAAAAGGTGTCCACACGCACATGCCCAACATATGCATTCTACTGAGGGCTAAAAACTTAAAATTCTATTTCCAGTGTTTATGAATAGGTTCAATATCTACCTTCACAACCAGAATTGAGCATGAGTTACTTCTTTTTACTTCACAAATGAGTAATATATCTTGGGAGGTTAAGGAGATACCTGTTGTCAGTAACTTTTATGCTTAGAATGAGCTGCATATAAAATGAACACCCCTATAGTATATGGGACATTTTATACCAAGAGGAAAATGGGTTTGTTTTTAGTCAATTGGGACTACCCTGCAGGTCTGAAAAACAGATTACACACCCTTAGGAAAAAAGACAAGGAGGCTCACAAATATAAAGGAATCCTGACTTTTACAAGGACAATTTTTTTAAAAGATAAAATGTATTATTATAAGCGCCATAAACAGTAATTTCTGCTTATATTAAAAAAAAATAAGTGAAGCTTTGTTTGAACATTATTTCCTTGCAAGAGCAGTACATATCCTTAGCAAACAACTACCATATTTACAAGTTAATTTCCTTGATACTTAGGCAGGACTGAAAACGAGAGGAAAACATGAAAGCATGAGTTTTGAAATAATCTTTACAGTTAAATTGATAGCAGTTAAGGTAACCAGATAGTTCCTAAAGCAGACTTGTTTATTTTGTTGAGTATCCGATTATGCCTGGGTAGTTAGTTCACTTTGTTAAAGGCCAAGGATGTGTTCAATTCCTCTTTGAAACCATTAACTTTTCCCAGAAAAACAGTCTACTAATCCTAATCCCAACCAGCCTCAAAAGAAAAATTCGGCAAAAGTACTGAGGTTCTTCACAAACCTATTGCTACTACTATGGAAACAACATAAAGTGCATGTCCCATAAATCATAAGTCAGCAGTCTCATCTTCAAATATGGGCAGCACAAGTGAAATTTGAATTGCAAATAACTCACAACTCACTTTCAACAAGGAATAAAAATCTCTTAACTACCCAACTGGTCTTTAAATATGAAATATTAGGTCTGTGTTAGAGAGGCAGTAATGAAATATTAACAAGTGTGCACTGGTACCTTAAATGACAAATCTCGAAAAAAATGCAAATTCAAGACTTTCCTATTAGTATACACATCTGTACCAATTTTTATGCTTAAAGTGGGTTATGGTCTCCTTCCTCTTCTTCATCTTTTTTGAGGAGTAGACTTGTAAAAACAACAATGTAAATTGTACTAGGTGGTAGTGGCTTATTTTTCTTAAACCAAAGCTCTAATTTGTTCATCTACTTCGTCTGCTCGAATGGAATACTGTGTCAAAGATCTCACCATATAATACCAGTATGATTACTGTCTTCATGAAAAGTTTTAATTCTTTCAGAGTAGTTTTCTCCTCCAGTCTTTCACTTCCTACCTAATCCAAGTTAAAATACACAATTTCCATTGGTCTTCAATGCAGTTCAATTCTGCACCCTGACCTTTCCTTTGCATGTCACAGTAGCTGTTCACATACATTAAATATTATAGGTATGTTCTGCTCTTGACATGTACACACTTACAAAAGGAATTTTGTACTTTGTTTGGTGTGTATTTTTACTATATTGGCTCACGAAAAGCAGTTTTTTCATTTCTATGCATGGTACTTTACAATTTTTAATGCATTATTACAACAGTGCATTGGAAAAGTACTGAGCCTCTACAAAATAGCTTTACATTTTTAAACAAATGAATGTTACTTTTTTCACTTACACAAGCATAGGCTTTTTTAATATTTCCACAAGATAAATATCTCAAACTATAAGCTCACTCTACAGTGTGCCACAGTGATGGGCTTAGGAGACAGTTATACACTTAGAAGATCTAACCTTAGTGTTATTTACACTGACATGTCCAATATCACCTTGCCTGAAAGGTGAACAAATGACATTCAGCATGTAGCTGAATTTGTGCCAACTAATAACTGGGAATGGTATAACTTTAAGCAATCACTTATGAAATGTGTACTGTAACTTAGTCTAAACTGATAATTTCCTTAGCCCCTCTCTCCTATGGCATGGGAAACTTTAACGATCAACATGAAATAGATAAGAGCCATTGCTAAGGCAGATCTTTTAAGATAACAAAGGAGAAACTGATAAATGTATATAATAAATCATTAGTAATATCAATTACTGATACTGAAATTAGATTTTATGTCCTAAAACGTTGCTTTTTAAAAATTTCCTTTTATTCTGGAACAGAAACTGGAGAAAGGACAATGATTCATTCAGAAAGCAATGACTCAATTCAGATGGCAGCTATACATTTAAGTACCACTCAAAAAGTGGACATAAAGCAAGTGATTCCTGTTTGCCCATCACTATACCAAGTACATAGCTGAGAGCTCAGACCTTAATTACACAACACTTTCTCTGTTACCAGAAGCTAAGACTGCCCTGCGACAAATAGGACAAGTAGAATTTTCAGATAACCAGCGATCGATGCAGTGGACATGATACTCATGGGAACAAGGTAGTTTGCGAAGTTTGTTGCCTTCTGTATATTCGGTAATGCAAACACTACAGGTTTTTAATGCATCATTTTCACCAAAACTTCTCATTGCCAAGTTGTCAATCTGTTCTTTGGTGAGTCCTCTAGGTTGGTCATCATCATCCTCATTTAAGAGGAAAAACTGAGCCAGACTAAGGAAAGGCAAAGAGCCACTTTCATCAACTGTTACTGGGGCTCTGTGTCGAACCTCTCGCCTAGCACCTGATGAGCCTGATGATGAGCTTCCTTCATTACTACCTTCAAACGCCTCTGAGCTAGTCTCTGAACTTTCACCACTGGAACTGGAACTAGGACTGGAACTAGAACTTGAACTGGAACCAGAACTGCTACCACCACCAGAACCCCCTCTCCCATTCCGTGACTCCGCCCTTTCCATATTTTGACTTGAGACTGAGCCACTAGGCTCTGAATCACTATCACTGTACATAAAGTAGCTTAATTCACCAAAACCTGTCATTATTTGTCTTAACATAGTCTGAATCGCAACAGATGTAGTCTCACTTAAACCAGTATTTAAGATTCTACGAATTGGAATTCTGATGGTACTAACATAGGTTCTCACACCTGCCCGCTCAGAACGTGAAAATGTACGCCTAAAACCTCCTCGTTCACTTTCGTAAGTGACAGTGTTGTTTGGTGTCTGAGACCTTGACCGAGTTCTGCTAGCTATGCTATCCCTCTGCCGATATTCTCCAGGACGGACTCTTCTTACTTGAAGATCAAGGACTATGGTTGGAGGTCTCTGTCCTGATCCTGTAGATTCACCATTACCAGTTGTATCTGAAGAACCTGCTCCTTGTGAGGCATTTCTTATTCCGGAAGCTGCAAAAAGACCTCTACTTAGCAAGTCAGGTCCACTTATTTGCTGTCTCAGTGTCACATGGTGCCGGGTTCTAGAGCTTCCCTCAGTCTCATTTACCAAAGGATGCTCAAAAGTCTGAGATGAGATGCTATGATGAGATCTCCGTGGAACTTCACTCATTGGATGCAGAGGTGACCTACTTCTTTCAGCTCTTGCTCGGGTTCTCCGGTGGTCTGGGCTCCTGCTTCTTGCTCTTCTCTGACCTCTAGTAGGTGGGACTTCTCCTGTTAATGCTTCAATTGAATTTCGTTCTGATCTGGATGGCCCTGCAGATGTTGATTCAGATCGTGGATTTTCCACTTGCCTTTGGCTGTTGTTATCCATGTTTTCTCCACTAGAACGTCTTGCAGATGGCTCATTTTCATTCTCTGGATTTTGACTCCCATTATTACGGTTAACATTGATCTCTAAACTGAATCTGAAATCACCACTGTTTGGATTAGTCCGGCTCACTGCTCTCCAAGATTGGTTTCCTCTTTGCCCACTTCTTGTCGTATTTCCAGTTTGCCTGACAGAGTTAAGCCAGTCTATTATAGAGTCACCATTAGATACATCATCTGAAGATTCTCCACCTGTTTTTAAGAGGGAGAAGAGGAGAAAAAGGAACTACTAAAATTAGGACAATCATGTAATAGTGCTCAGAAACTTTGTATTAGAAAAAAAAAAAAAAGAACAAAAATTCTGAACAGATTTCACATTTACACATTTTTGTAAACTATACTACATAGACTTGCAAGTAAAAGCAGGAAAATTTCAATTTCATTTTGAAAGAGCAAGCTAATCCAAGCAAAATTCAGAGAATTTTTTAAAAGGGAATCTGGAAGTCTATTTCAATACTTCATTATACATAGAGCCTAGCATACCACTGTGGACTGTCAGAAGACAGTATTTTTCAGTTCACCATCAAAACATTCTTGTAAACACCAATTAAGGTATAGGGCTAGTATTTTAGTTCGAATTAAATTTCAGTCAAATTTTCATTAGTCTGTAACATTTCTTCTAGGCTCTTGATTTAAGTGCCTTTGATAATATAAGATGTTTTAAAATACAAGACTGCTCCCTGGCTGGTGTGGCTCAGTTGGTTGAGCATTGTACCATGGACCAAGAGGTTGCCAGTTTGATTTTCAGTGAGAGCACATGCCCAGGTTGCAGGCTCGATCCCTAGTATGAGGTGTGCAGGAGGCAGCCAACTGATTCTCTCTCATTGATGTTTCTATCTCTCTCTCCTACTCCCTTGCTCTTTCTATAAAAAAATCAATAAAAACATATTTAAAGAAGAAAAAGAAAAGAATGCTGTAGCCATTGCAAAAATATAATATAAACAACGTTTCTAGGTTTGTGTTTGAATACTTCTTCACGTTACCAAGATTTTAAATTAACATGAAACTGGAGATCAGACCAAATGAATACTCTGAACCTAGCACAGTACATATAATGGCACATTCAAGACTAGACTGTTATCACAGCCTCTTAGGTTAGACAGTGAAATTCTCTACTTCACATTGGAGAGAAACATCGGGATGTTAGGATGTTTAGCTATATCCCTGGCGTCCACCCACTAGATGCCAGTAACAAACTCCCCGTATTGACAAACAAAAATGTCTCCAGGCATTGCCAATATCCCATAAGGGGCAAAATTATATCCCGTTGAGAACCACTAGGTTAGAGAATATAGCATTTCTTTCTGCTGGTGAGGAACTCACATGTTTATAAAAAAGGAATAATTCAGTAGGTAGAAGGAAATTTCAATGGATGTAGAAAATCAAGACAAAAAATTACATTTAAATAGACCATTTCTCACAATGTCCCAATTAACACAAATAACCCAAAGGTGAAGCAGAAAAAGGAAAAAAAAACTACATTCACAGTTGTACCAAATATCAAGAACATGCCATTTCTCTTTTTATGAGTAGTTACTTAGCACCAAACTAATTTATACCATTTCTGGATAATCTTTGGCTGACATTTACTGTTATTAAGTTGTTTATCCATTCCATCCTCTACCCATCCCCTGCAAAACAAAATATACCTCTATTTTCATCTGAGTTTTGTGGCGGTGGGCCCTCCTTAATTTGTTGTAATCTTCTCAGCAACTCTTCCTCAGTACTTTCACCTGAAAATAGTTTTAAAATGTTTGCCAAATTACAAATAGAAACCAATGCTAAGCAAAATAAGCCAGGCAGAGAAAGACAAATATCACATGATCTCACTTATATGCTGAATGTAATAAACAAAATAAACTGATGAACAAAACAGATCCAGTGACATAGAGGCATGGAACAGACTGACGAATCTCAGAGGGAAGGTGGAGGTGGGTGGGGAGAGATTAACCAAGAATTTATATGCATATATGCATAACCCATGGACACAGACAACAGTGTGGTGAAGGCCTGGGGCAGGGGGATGTGTGGCAGAAGGGATCAATGGGGGGAAGAAAAGGGGACATCTGTAATACTTTTAACAATAAAGATAAATTTTAAAAAACAACGACTCTTACCCATCTGAGATGAAAACCAAGGAGTAGGAAACCTGGGTAAAATTAATTTCTTTGGGACCTTGACAATACAATTTATAGTTGTACAGATTTCTTATAGTTTACTGAATGCTTTTGCATATAATACCTCATTCTTTAAAATTGCAACTCTGGGAGGTAGATATTACTATCTGTATTTTAAAACAAGAAAACAAGACTGAGTGAGACTGACATGCTAATACATGGCAGGGCCAGGCAGCCAACTTAAATATTCTGATTGAAATCTGGTACTGATGGTTCAATAGCACTTCCTTTCATTAACACCTGACCTTTTAAAATTTAAGCAAGCACTCAAAGATTAGTAAAATTAAATAGAAATAAAAATGATGGAATAAATTTTAACTAGGGGCAAATGGGACCTAATTGGGCAAAAGAGAATAACCAAGCACAAGGTTCTTAATAATTGATCATTTTACCCAAGGCTTGCTCTGGAGGATTATGATTGGGACATATTCAGGGAATCAGAGATGACAAAACAGAGTAAGTCTGTCCTAGGAACTAAAGTTCCCATTAGCTCCTACACACTTAGACTCTTGTCTAGTAAGTTAAATAAGCCCACAACAAAAAAATTGTTCAGCTCCACTCTTTTCAAATCAGCTCATTCTAAATTCATAATATAATTCATAACTAAAAACATGGTATAGGATAATTCAAATATGAGTGAACAGAATCAAGTAATAAATACAGCAGCAAATATCATTCTAAATACCTTGCATTAAAATCATACTTCATAATGGCTAAAGAAACTGATTTTCACAGCAGGCTATTTTTTAAAAGACCAGCAAATTACATATATAAATTCTTAAACTACGTATCGCATACCTGGTGTGCCTAGCAAATTGTTATCCCTCATAAGCCTATAATCTTCTTCACTCAGATTATTAACAAATTGATAGAAAGCTTCTTCCCGATCCAATCGGTCCATCTGACTTCTGCGCTGTGCTGCAGACTGATCACCACTTCCTTTTTCATTAGAATCTGAGCTTTCCATCTTGATAAACAAGTCGAAAATTATCTAAAAGGAGAAAGGAAATCAATCTTGAAAACAGAAGTCAGTATGTGTTCTTATAAAACAGTTTCAATTATGTGAAAATCCACAATGTAAGTCAAGATGTAGATTTTAAGACTTCATATGAATGAAATTTCATAATAGAAAAACTCCCCAAAAGCCCTGTTATACTAGGAAAAGGCTAGGTCAGGGGGTTGGCTAACTATGGCCCATGGGCCAAATTAAGCCCTGGTGCCTATTTTTTCTTGTTGAAACCCAAGAATGGTTCTTACACTTTTAAATGTTTATTTTAAAGGAGAGGATTTTTTTGTGATGTGTGAATATTATATGAAATTCAAATTTCAGTGTTCATCATTTTATTGGAATAGTCATACACATTTATTTACATAGTCTATGGCTTTTTTGCTATGACAGAGTTTAGTCGTGACAGAGACTAAACGTGGTACTTGCTGCTTTGCAATGGTGATCTGTGCACTGTAAGTTGCAGTGATCAATTATAACTTGACAGCATTTTAAGTGCCATGTATATCACCAAATTGTGACATTTTTAAAGTTACCAGTGCACACTCATCACATCAAATCAAGAAGGTGGACTTCGAATGGCACAGAGTGTGGATTATTTTGTTATCAGATTAGATGGTAAAGATGTGTTTATTATGCAACAGCATGATAATTATGCTCAAGTAATAAAATATACAGTGATATTATCAGGCTAAGCACTCATCAATAACAATATTCCTAATTCACAGGAAAGCTACAATGTAAAAAACGAGAAAATTTAAAGTGAAATATCTAAGCACAAAATATTTCTTCGCAAAAATTAAAAATGAGGCTTCAACTAAAGTAAGTTTCCAGTGGCTCATTCGCTGGCTAAGCAAAGAAAATCATTTATTGATGGTGAGTTAAGTTGCGTTTGATTGCAGAAGCTACAGAAACGTGTCCAGAGAAAGCAAACTTGTTTAAAATTATTAATGTTTTGGCGAGTATAGTTGCTCAAAAAGTTGAGTATATTGGGATACATCAATAAGCAATTGAAAAACAAGGCAGCAAATGATTTGAGTGGTTTTCCTTGGCTCACGAGTACACAAATATCAGTGATACTATTCACTGTTTATTCAAGGAGTCAAGTGCTCCACTACAGGTGATAATATTTTCAAAGAGGCTGAGAAAACACAAATTCAGCACAAACTGAAGTGAAATTTGCTAAGACATATTACAACTGAAATAGTAGTAAAATGTGTAAAACAGAAAAAGACCTAGTTGGACAAATTTACAAACCTTGTGAACATGTAAGGTGTTTAAAGTCTATAGTTATCATTACATTATTCATCAGCAGGGAGTTTTCAGAAAATATTTAAGTCCATCATAATATGTAGTGTCAATGGTGAGCTTCATTATTGCAGACTTAACCATCATCAGTTCTGTGAATTTTTTTCAGAAACAGAAACTATCTTGCCTTGCTCCACTACTTGCTCATTCTGATGGCTTAACACTGGTAAAAGTTTTATTGTGATTTGTCATAGCAAGGTCCAAAACTGAATTTTTTTCCCAGTGAGAACTACCCTCAATCACCATTACAAAACAGGAGCTTGGGAATTAAGCTTTTGCTACAGGATTCATAATGTTTCTTAATGAATTCAACCTAAAAGTACAAGGCAAAACAGTGCTTCTATGTAAAACTTATCCTGCAGTAAGTCATTTCAACAATAACTAACACTGGAATCACAAAGTCAAGCTGCTTTACATGACATGACTTCTTTGTACTATCAAAGAAATGAGAGCTGCATTCCCATACAAATTTGTAGATCTATTTTCTGAGCACAAACTACAGTTCCAAAAGCACATTTTTTTTGAACCTCAGTGAAAGTAAAAAGAAAATTTCCTTTATTTCAAAATCCATTTAACTGTGCAACTGAGGAGCTTCCACCTAACCTTCAACCGAAAGTGATAACCCTGCAATGTAATATTCTAAAAGGTAAATATCAAGAGAAGAATCTAATAGAATTCTATAAATGCCTTCTAAGGGATGAATATGCTTCATTAAAATTATATGCTTGTGGCCTGGCCGGGCATGGCTCAGAGGCTGAGCATCAACCTAGGATTCAGGAGATGATGGTTCGATTCCAGGTCAGGGCACATGCTCGGGTTTCAGGCTTGATGCCCAGTAGGAGTGCAGGAGGCAGCTGATCAATGACTCTCTCTCATCATTGATGTTTCTATCTCTCTCTCCCTCTCCCTTCCTCTCTCTTAAATCAACAAAGACAGCCCAGCCAGGCGTGGCTCAGCGGTTAAGCGTCGACCTAGGATCCAGGCGATGAGGGTTTGATTCCCGGTCAGGGCACGTGCCCGGGTTGTGGGCTGCAGCCGATCAATGACTCTCTCATCATTGATGTTTCTCTCTCTCTCTCTCCCTCTCCTTTCCTCTCTCTGAAATCAACAAAGATATATGTAAAAAAAAAAAAAAGATGCTTTAAATCAACAAAGACATATTTTTTTAAAAATTATATGCTTGTGGACTGATTAGATTGCAATACCTATGCGTGAAAGGACATTTTCAAAGATGAAATATGGAAAATCTCATTTTAAGTCAGTAGCACTGGATGAGTATCTGCAAATAATTTTGATAATAAGGAATATGTTTAGCCCCAATTAAGTAATATGTTACTTCCCCAAAAGAATGCCATTTTTCTCATTAGTAGACCTATATTACAAAACACTGTACTATTACTATTACATTTTGAGTTTGTTTTTTTGTTTTTTTTGGAGGTGATGGATAGGTTTATTACCTTGATTGTTGTGATAGTATCACAAATGTTTGCTTATGTCCAAATGCATCAAGCGGAATGTATTAAACATGCAATATTTTGGTATATTAATTATACTTAAATACAACTCTTTTAAGAAATGTAATAAAATCACATATTTCCTCTAAAGTCCACACAATTCCTAGAGTTGATCAAATGGTCTGCCTTCTTACTGGCATCTGCGATCTTAAGAGAAATTCTTTTTAATTTTTTTTATGTGGAACCTTTCATAAAGGCAAGGCTGTGCACATCCTTGAAATCCTTGTTGGGATCCAACCCTTCATCATTCTAATTTTGATGCAAGCGACTATGATGTGTAACTCAGACATCTGCCCATCTCCTTGGAATTCAGCTCTTAAAAATCAAGGCTGTCTTCTTGGTGATTTATTTCTAAGTTGCCTCTGGAAAGGGTATGAACTATTGCTTTTGTTGATTAGAGTATTTTTTCAGAATTCTGTATACCATGCTTCCCAAAATCTGACTTATTTGGGGGGAAATATGCACTCTGAACATCTCTACTAACATTAATTATACTATAAACAGCATTAAAATTGCATTTTATTTTTTTTTACATTTTGAGTTTTAGCAAGAAAAACTGTGAAAATTTGGCTTCTCTAACTAATTATGTAATATGTCCAATTTTACTTTTTGATCAGCAAAGCAAAAAAAAAAAATTACTACCTAGCCTTTTACAGAAAGAGTTTGACAACCCCTGCTATAGATAGTGCATAAAACTAGCAAAAAATTCTTGATTATCATTCACTACTTATATGGCCTTAGAAAATTCCTATACTGGCAGATTTCCATACACTCTCAATTAATTAGTAGTAAACAATCTAAAATAAGATTCCAAACAAAAAATTTCATTCTCTGTTTTTTTCCTCTCCAACTTCAGATTGATCCTATTTAAATTCACATTGACAAAATAAAAATTAATTCCATGAACATATGATAATCTGGTTTGTGGAAAAGAGGTAATCTATACTGGTGCTAGGATTTAATCCCACACACAACACATGAAGTATCTGGATGATCACAAGTCAATACTAAAGAGAAAAATAACAACAAACCTTCTTTCAGATATAAAAAAATAAAAAAGCCTCTCTACGTGTCTGCTGTGCCTAAATAAATTTTAGTCCAGACATGGGCACATCTAGATCTCCACCATTTTCCTTAGATCATTATTCTTATAACTATCCTATCAGTTTAAACAAATAAGATGAACACATCAAGGAAGGGGTAGGCAAGGGTAAGCTTAACATTTTTAGAAAAAGCTTTCTATTCTCATAACTAAGAATTCTTAATTTTGGTAAGAATAAACTATAGAAATTTCTGAAATATGTTTTTATAGTAACTTGAAACAAAGACTGGAAATCAACAGCTGAAATAAAACACTCATAAAAGTTACATGGGCCAGGGCAATAAAAAATTTAACAAAGGGAAACCACATTTTTCTATATGTAGCTAAGTAATACAATTTGGTATTGGTAATAGTAAGCAGATAATTTTAAAAAGTATAGAAAAGCACAAAGGAAAAAGTACTTCAGCTGCAATTCCTCAAACCAAAGAACCACAGTAACATCTGGCTAAAGTACTTAAGCAGTTAATATTTTGAATACTAATAACAAAAGTTAGGATAAAGTCCACTTGTGAAGGATCAATGCATTCTGAAATTAATTTATAAAAAGTATAACTCAGTAAGGTTGAAAGCCTTTAAAAATATAAATCTTTCAAATAAGGCAAAAATGTCTGATAAGTTCTGACATTTGAAGGACATGAAGAAAAAAAAAACCCAGTAAACTCATGTGCCAAGTACTGTTACAAGAAGGGCACAAAGTCTTAAGAATAGCGTTACTGCCAGCCAGTGTGGTCTAGTGGTTGAGCCATGAACCAGGAGATCATAGTTCAATTCTGGGTCAGGGCATATGCCCAAGTTGAGGGCTCTATCGCCAGTAGGGGGTGTGCAGGAGGCAGCCAATCAATGATTCCCTCTCATTCACTGATGTTTCTAGCTCTCTCTCCCTCTCCCTTCCTTTCTGTAATCAATAAATGTTTATTTATAAAAAAAAAAAAAA